ATTTGTTTATTGGAGAAATGACAATAACCATATCATCTCACTCAACAGGTTCATTATGAGAAGTAAATATGTCAAAACAAATTGGTAAGTGTTATGTAAACATATTACAACATCCTAAAACAGCCATGGACTGCCTAACATGAATCTAACTAGGTCAAAAAGAAATTTGGTAAGCAGTAAAATTTATCACACTTCATCTGCGGCACAGCTGTCAGTATGGCATGAACCTGACACTCCCAGACACATTTCAACATAAGTCAATGTGTACTCTTCCCACCTACCTTCAGCTGTAACTGTGTAAGTATAAAATACGAGCAGTGACCCATGAAGACCAAGAAACTACTGGTAAAGTCAACCTCACCTTTACAACCAAACACCAGCCTGCTTGCTCCCCACTCCACATGGCGAAAACTAAAGTAGCCTGGAACACTGTTCTGAAACATCTTTAAAAACCTTAAAATTCCTAATTCTAGGACTCTCATTCCTGCTGAAAAAAGTCTAAAAATAATGCACTAGTGATTATAATACTGACATTTATGACAAATATCACAAACATGTAAGCATATAGCATGAAATACCCATGTCTGAGCAAAGTCACCACTGCTTCAATCTTCTCATTTCTATACCTGTCTAAGAAATTATAGTGTCCATCTGCATATAACAGCATTCAGAAGGAAGCAGAAAGGAAGAGCACGTGGAGTTCAAAGACCTAGGTTTGTCTCCTAAATTTTCTAGATATTTTCTGTTTGATCTAGTCAATCTGAGCCTTAGTTTCTTCTGTGTACAGAAAATAACAACGATTTTAATATCAAAAAATATACTAGGAGCTATAAAGCAGCAATGAAAACACTTTATATATAGCCAAGTGACAAACATTCTAACAAATATGTGGTGTATAAAAAACTTGACATTCAGCCAGGCATGGTGGTACACGCCTTTAATCCCAGTACTTGGGAGGTAGAGGCAGGAAGATCTCTGAGTTCAAGGTCAGTCTGGTCTACATAGCAAGTTCCAGGCCAGCTGGGGCTACAGGGAGACCCTGTCTCAAAAAAAAAAAAAAAAAAAAATTGACATTCAACCATGGAAGAAATTGGGGCTGGAGAGATGGCTCAGAGGTTAAGAGCACTGGCTGCTCTTGCAGAGGACCCAGGTTTGGTTCCCAGCACCCACATAGCAGCTGGCAATCATCCTTAGCTCCAGTTCTAGGGGATCTGACGATCCTCTTCTGGCCTTAGTGGACACTGCACACAACTGGTGCATTTACATACCCGCAGGCAAAACACTCATATATACATAAAATAAAAATAAATGAAAGTTTTTTTTAAGAATAAGGAACAGAAGTGGCCTATTTCCTTAGCTCTCTGCACATGGATCTGCCATGGAGAGATCTGGGGCCGCCAAGACGTGTGCACATGAATCCATGAGGAGCTTTTCCTGATGTCCCACTCCACTTGTTATATAGACATCTACCCGACTGAATGTGTTCTGTCACTCAGCTTTGCTTCAGACACCTCTATGTCCTCTTCCCTTTTCTTGTATGTGTGTTGACCTAAACAAATGCCATAAACCTCAAGTTATTCATTTTGTTTTGGGGTGAAGATTCAGTTTCTGTCTTTTGGATCTAGGTTTCCAATTAAGTATATTGTCAAGTATTAACAGCATAAGTGGTGGGTTAACTTTAGAATAGGAATTGGTGTTGGGAACTGGGTTTGCAAGAACTTTTATTTTATTTTTTTGGATGAAATTTTATCTATGATATATTAAGACATTCTTGCTGCTGCACTGTAAAAGCCATAGCAGATTTGAGATGCTATTGAGGGCTGGATTATTCTCCAGTATGAGGAAGGTTCTTCTGTTAAGTTCAAAGCCCTGCCTAAACTGAAATGAGGAGACAGGAGCTTTTCTCTGCCAGCCCCTCCCACCCTCCCTTGAAACCCTCCGCCTTTTAAAACAGGTCCCATTTCACTGTGATCTTGGTCATTATAGGTATCTGTCCCTGGGCCAGCAGGGACCTCTGAAGCCTTCTTTGTGACCTGGATTAATTTTTTTTTTCATCCTATGGTTTTTCTAATGAATTTTCAGGACTTTTGCAATCTTGTAACTATCCAAGCTCCACTTCCTAAATTTTAAGAACTTTCATTCAAAGTTTAAATTGAAGGTGCTATTTGTGAGTTACCACCCAGTGGATACCCAGTCATCATGACAAATCCTTGAGTGTTCTCTAAGAAAATGATGCTGGTCATTACAGCTTCAGCATCTCCTGGGTTTTGATGTTTGACTCTCTGCTGATCTCCTGGCTTTTCCTCCCTCAGTCCCTTCTCACCCTTGCTGTTCTGTGTAGTGATTTGGTGAGAGAAATTATGCTTTTGTCTCCCCCCCTCCACCACATATGAGTTTCAAGTTTTATTATTGCAATAAAAGTGCTTTATGCTGGCTTCCCCCCCCCAAAAAAAAAGGAAAAGAAAAGAAAAGAAAAAGAAAAAGAATAAGGGAAGTTGTAAAAGACAATTTAATCACAGAAATGTCCAAGGAATTACGTTGCCTTATTCTTAACGTCTAGAAAAACTGAAAAAGTTGAAGGGATTTTAAGGACACAGTATTGTGATATTCACATGGAACAGCCTGTTGGGGAATACATCTAGCCAGGTGAGTTTTTCACTGAAGCTTAATTCATAATACCATACTTAAATGTGTCCTTTTTTATGGAAATTTCACAAGAAGGTAAATGATAACCTCTCCACACCAATACACATTTATCAAACACACCACCATCTCTAAAAAGGTTTATCCCAAACCACTGCTGTCACAGAGATGATTTAAGAAATTATCTGTAATTTAATAACATTACTTACAAGGTTGATAATGTGTATTTGACTATAGTTGAGGACAGATGCAGAAAAGGTCCAGACTAAAATAAGTCTCAACAGATTTCATTTACCAAAATGTTACCAAGAGTATTTGGAATCAAAAAGAAGAGACTTGCAGTTAAAATACATTTTATTAATAAAATCTAATATATTTTAACAAAATCCTTTCCCTGATTATAATATTTTCCTGACTGTATTTTACCATTCCAATATAGTTATGCTGAGGTTGAGGTAGAATCATGCTTAATGACTTGTGCCATTTAGCCATTCGCCCCTGATTCAAAGTCTTATGATTAACTGTAAGAAAAACTTACAGACACAGTAGTGAACTGAACTTGAACTCTGATAGTTATTAATGGGTGTAGGTAGAACAAGCAGTTGATAAACAGAATTTATAAACATTTATTTTTCCTATAAAGCCTGAGAAGACATTCTCTACTTCATATTTTTAGATTAAAGACTACTAAAGGTACTTTAGATACTAAAAACTGACCTAGAAGCATGATGGGTACATGCCCTTGCTTAAGAGGCTGAAGTAAGAGGAGTTTGAGGCCAGCCTGGGCTTTATATAGCAAGCCCATCTCATTAAAAAATAAATAAAATTAATCAGTGTGTAGTGCTTGTATAGCATGTGGGAAGCCTTGGGTTTGACCCCTAGCACCACAAAAATAATTACTTTAATAAATAAAAAAGATAAAAAATTTCAAAAGATCACACCGCCAGAAGTATCAATCACTCCAAGTTCAAGGCCAGCTTGACCTAGTGAGTTCCAGGGAAGCTGGGCTACACAACAAGACTCTGTTTCCAAATGAAAATAAAGTTAAAATGTTTAAAAGATGACACTAAAAATTATTATACTCTGCCATTCCTATTCAATAACCTAAACCAGAATAAAGTTTTAAGAATTTAACAAAAGAACACCCTGGGGTTGAAACATAGGGCCAATCCTGTTATTTAAAGTTTATTTCTTTCAACTACATCTGATACAATGAAATCATTCTGAATTGCAAGCTATTTTCTCAGGACCTCAGAGGGTTGGTGTCCTCTACATAGGTCCTCTCAGCACCCCTGAGAATACAGCCTTAGAACCCAGGCCCCTTTCCTACCTCTGCTGGCTTTCCTGCTCCTGATCTAGTGCTAACCCTTTAGTCTGTGACTTCTTGAAGATTTTTTAAGGAAAAGGGAAGGAGGGACTGAAGCCAGTGTCACTCTGATGGTAATATCACACAAACTCTACATCAGCACTGCCTTTGGAAGGGCATTTAGGTCAGAAACTCCTTGAGCTTCCCTAAGCTGCTGAGGTCATAGAAGTTAGTGTGAAGGAAACCAAAAACTCAATCCAGCACCCCCAGAGAAAGCACCTCCACTAAGGCTCAGCTTCAGACTGCCACTGCCCCCTTCCACCCTCATCAGCACATTCAGGAAGTCTTGCCGGTTATTACTGTATTAGAACACATAGAATCAGTCGTACTCAGACTCCAACACTGAGTCAAATTCCAAGCAAAAACTATCAGCCAGTAGGTTGCCATGGTCGGTCCTCACTAAATTATACTCTGAAGAAGGCAGCTAGTACCAAAGACCATTCCGAGGGAACTAGTCTGGAGCTACACTAACACATACTTCAGCATGGATGTGAATTACACAAGTAAATAAATAATTGACCCAGTGAGGTTGATAGGGAAAGGATTCTTTTACACTGTAGTAATCTGAAGAGACTCCTTTCAAGCACTGAAACAGCCTTTCTGTAGTCCTTTCATTGGGTTACCAGGCAGTTACTCATGAGAGAATGATACTGACAGAGGAGGCAAGATAGGTAAGGGGAAGAAATAAAACTCCAAAAACAAAGTTCCAATTGAACCAGGCAGCCATCAACCTTTTGGGGGTGATGACAGGTAGGAGGTATCAGCTACTGTCCGAAAAGACTGAGAATGAAAAACATACACAGGGAGTAATAAGATCCAGATCACACTTGGCTCTAAGATCAAGCTGACCTTTCTCAAAGAAAATTAATAATAAAACATGTACAACAAGTATAGAAATACTAGACTGAACAGATGAGGCAATGTTTATTGTCCAAATGGGATAGTTCTTAGTAAGCAGGACGAACTGGTGGTAAATACTAAACAGTAGTACCTGTGATTATGCGAGTAGCACCTCTCCCATGGGATGAATGAGAGCTGGTAACTGAGGGTGAACTCCATCTTGTGGAACAGTCTGAAACAGAACCCACTGGTTTACTCTAGGGAAGCAGGAAGTGAAGCAGTGCTGGGCATGCTGAGAACTTGGGAAGAGCCCAGTAACAAGAGCCCTTACCTGAGCAAGGGGCTTATCTACATAGAAGGGGGGCAGCAAGAGGATCTCAACTGCACCCTGGCAGCTTTAGAGGGTACAAGGTGCTTAAACAGTAAGTTCTCCTCTCCAGTCCACTATAGAGAAAGGGAGTTCTCACTGGCAGACCAAATAGGAAGAGGCCATAAAGCTCCTCATCTGGAAAAATCAGTGACCCAACCCAGCCACAGTCTGAATTCCTTTAAAAAAAAAAAATCATCCTACTGGGTTACAACTTTATTTACGCATTTATTTATTTAATTGATTGATTGATTAACTAGGAGGGTGGCTCATGCTACAGCAACTATATGGAGGTCAGAGGACAACTTACAGGAGTTGGTTCTTTCCTTCCATTATGTGGGTTTTGGGACTCCAATTCAGGTCATCAGGCTGGGCAATAAGCATCTTTACTCACAAAGCTATTTCACCAGCTTGCTATCTTTGTTTTATGCAGTGCTGGAGAACCTGTGGCCTAATGCATGCAAGGCAAGTATTTTATCACTTAAATGAATTATATCCCAAACCCTGAGTTCCATCTTTTAAAAAATATTTTATTTTTATTTATTATTTTTATTTTATATGTATGAGTATATTGCCTGCATGTACATAAGTGCACCCGTGTCGTCCAAAGCCCACAGGTCAGAAGAGGGAGTCAGATCCCCTGGTACTGGAATTACAGGTGGTTTTTAGCTGCCATGTGGGTGCTGGGAACCAAACCCTAATCCTCTGCAAGAGCAGCCAGTGCTCTTAGCCACTGAGCCATCTCTCCAGGCACCCTGGGTTCCATTTTTAAAATCCCAAAGCATATCTTTTTGTGACTATACAGCTGAGGGGGATTTCCAAGGAGGAAGCTAGATTAAAAGCTAATAGGTCTGGGTCCAAGACATGCTAGAGCAAGACACAAGAGGCTGTCAATGAGATGAATGACTAAAAGAAGGGTCCTATTATGCAGGAAGACTGTGATGATTAGTCTTAATTGTCAACTTGACCGAAACCAAGAATCACCTGAAGGAGCCTCAATGGGGAATTGTCCAGAACAGGTTGGCCTGTGAGCATGCCTGTGAGGGATTTTCTTAATTGGGCTAATTAAAGTGGGAAGACCAACCCTGAATGTGGGTGGTACCATTTCACTGGCTGGTCCCTGGACTGAATGAAAAGGACAGAGTCAGCTGAGCACAGCATGCCTGCAAATCACTGTTCACTATTCCTAACTATGGATGTAATAGGACCAACTCCCTCAAGCTCCTGCAGCCCTGACTTCTCTATGATGGTCTGTAAACTAAAATAAACCCTTTTGTCAGGAAATTTTATCACAGCACCTGGAAAAGAAACTAAAACAATAATAATAAGCAATAATAAAGGCAAGCTATGTCTAGACTCCTAGAGCCAAACCAAGAAGCCAAAAGTCACAGATATAGGAAAGAAACCCAATTCTGATTAGAAATCAATTCTAATATTACATGCTCAAATGAAAACATGTTTAGACTAAAGATGTGTTATGGAAGAAAATACCATATCTGCCGGGAATATATTATATGTACTTGAAATATAGTACATTTGATAGGACTAATCATCCAACCAAAAAGCTACACAATCTGGCAACATATCAGATTCCATGCATGTTGGTATGACCTAACTATTTTGGAGGGGGGGTGTCTTTTTGAGACAGGGTCTCCCTGTAGTCCCAGCTGGCCTGGAACTCACTATGTAGACCAGGCTGGCCTTGAACTCACAAAGATCCGCCTGCCTCTGCCTCCCAGAGTGCTGTGATTAAAGTCGTACACCACCATACCTGGCTGTGACCTAACTATTAAAGGTGTTTGTATTGATGTATCACTTTGTATCAACACAATGGCCACAGACAATGTGTAGGGTCATAATAAAAAAATTTTACATTATTAGCATAAATTCTGCCATTTCTTTAATATTTTATTATTTTTATTTTATGTGTAAGTGTATTGCCTGCATTATGTAAGTGCATCTGTCTCACATAATGCCCAAGGAGGTTAAAAGAGGGTGTCAGATCCCCTGGAACTGGAGTTATGGACAGTTGTTAGCCATCATGTGAGTGCTGGGAATCAAACCCACGTCCTCTGCAAGAATAGCTAGTGCTCTTAACTGCTGAGCCATCTCTCTAGCCCCTCTGCCATTCGCTTTATGCTGTGCAGTGACAGTTTATATGAAACTATAAGAGCATTTAACTTACATACACAAGCACTGAAATTACACAATTTATATTTGACAGGTCATCCACAGAGACCTCAAGCCATCCAGCAGAGAAAAACTCAAACTCAGGAATGTTGGAAGGAGAAAAGGTACTGCTTTCAAGCTTATAGTTGATTGATGGAACTGAGCATTCCTTTGAATGTAAGACATCACTTGTGTTAGTTTTTGTCTGTGTTTATTGACACAAACTAGAGACAACTGGGAAGAGGAAACCTCAATTGAGAAATTTCCTCCATGGGATTGGCCTATGTCCACGTTTATGGGGTGTTTTCTTTTTTCTTTTCTTCCTCTTTTTTTCGGGGGAGTGGGTCATTTTGAGACACGGTCTCCCAGTAGCCCCGGTTGGCCTGGAACTCACTATGTAGACCAGGCTGGCCTTGAATTCACAGAGATCCACCTGCCTCTGCCTCCCAAGTATGAGGCATTTTCTTAATTGCTAATTGATGTAGAAGGGCTCAGTCCACAGTGGGAGGTACCATCCCTAGGCAGGTGGGCCTGGGCTATAGAAGAAAGATAACTGAGCAAGCCAGGGGAAGCAAGTCAGTAAATAGCACTCCTCCATGGTCTCTGCTTCAGTTCCTGCCTCAGGTTCCTGTCTTGGCTTCCCCCAATAATGAACTATAACCTGTAAGCCAAATAAACTATTTTCTTCCCTAAGTTGCTTGTAGTATTTTATTACAGCAGCAGAGGAGTAAACTAGGATAGGAGGTTTGCACACAATAAATTCAACTGGCATTCTGGCATTTTACTTCAAGCATAAAATCTTTGGGGTCTAGGACTGAACGCTTTGCGTGTTCAATTGCAAGTTTCTTTTAAAGTATAAAATTTATGCTATATAGAAACTTACAGCTATAGAAAGGCATATTTTGAAAATGTAAGGACTTTCAGAGCTACTTAACCATAAATTACCCCAACTATATTAAATTTCTTTTTTAAAAAATGGACATGTAGGAAAACTGCCAATTGCCAACTGGAACAAGTATCTCTGATTTAGGGGCATATTTTTTTCAAGCCTATGTCAATTTTAAAACAACAGTTATCAGCACTTTTCATAATATATATATATATGACTATAAATAATCTCTGAGGAAAATAGTTGATTATGTTTCCAAGAATCTAAGTAAGTATTACATACAAAAAAGGAGAAGGAAAAAAAGTATTCATGAAATCCAAACTAGGGATGTTGGAAACATGATGTCAGCATGCTTCCCTGAGTTTCAGCATGACTCTATAATGTGAAGATGTGTGCAAATCACGTGGTATACTGTGTGTGTGTTTTATATTGCTGGTATATCGCTCATTAATTTCCATGATTTACGCCCCAATTAATAATATTTGTGAGGCAGAGGCTGGCAAATTTGAGTTTGAGACTTGGTCTACATAGCAAGTTTCAGGCCAGCTAGGGCTACAGGGAGACCTTGTTTCAAAGATCAAAAAAAAAAAAAAAAAAAAAAAAGAAAAAAGAAAAAAAAAGAAAATTAGGACAAGCACTATGATCTCAGTATGCCAGAAGCTGAGACAGGAGGATCACTTGACCCCCAAAATTGAATGCCAGCCTGGACTACATAGCAAGAGCCTATCTTAAAACCAAAAAATATGTATTACATAAGATTCTGATGTCAGTGTCCCACCAAGTTTTATTGATGCACAGCCACAGCTATCCGTTTATCTGTTGTATATGGTGGTTGATGAACTACAAAAGCAAAGCTGAGTAATTTCCAAAGAGACAGTGTGTCCTACTAAAATGTTTTACTATATGGCCCTGCAGGATGGAGAATATTTGTTAGTTCCTTTTCCAGAGCATTAAAAAGAATTAGGTATCTCTATATGGTTTGATTAGGTCCACCTCTAAAATATACAACAAATATTTTAAGAGTCATTTGTTACTTTTACCCTGATTGTTTCCAAATAGGATCTGGGGAACCTGATTTTGTGTTACCAATATTAAGTTCAAAACCTCTTATCAGAGCTGGGGTACAGCTCAGTGGTAAAGCACTTGTTTAACATGTACAAGACTCCAGGCTTGATCCTCAGCACTGGGAGGGGGAAAAAAAAAAAAAAAAAAACATTAGAACTAAAGTTTTAGTCAGGTGTGGTGATGCACACCAGTAATCCCAGCATTTGGGAAGTAGAGGCCAAGAGGATCTGAAATTCAAGGCTAACCTTGGCTACATTGAGAGTTTAAGGCTAGTTTGAGCTACATGAAACCCTGTCTCAAAAAACAAAATAGGAGGCTGGCATGGTGGCACACACCGTTAATGTCAGCATTTGAGAGGCAGAGGCAGGTGGATCTCTATAAATTCAAGGCCAGTCTGGTCTACATAGTGAGTTCTAGGCCGGCTTGGGCTATAGGACCTGAATCCAGACTGCTAACTTGGCTATAACCTGCCTTCCTGCTGTCCCCACCAATATATTTAGTAAATGAACTGATTTAGGTCTTCCTTTTGATCTAAGACTACCAAAGCTCATGTAACCACTTCCACAGTAGAGCATGTCATTTAGGGCAACCCAAATCCCTGTTCCCAGCAATAGTCACTCATATATGGTTCAGAATAAACTGATTGCCTTTCAGGTGAGAACTATGTTTTGTATTCACCAGTATATACACTGTAGAAAAATGAAACTACATCCCTGTAAGTAAATAAATAAATAAATAAATA